TTTTTTTTTTTATTCATCCACATTATCCGTCTCTTTTCAGAAAACAGACAAGACAGCAAATACAAGAGCTCCTTAACATGTTATGGCTCGACACTGAAAAGATCACTAGTAAACTCCCTTTCAAGTATCAGAGAGCTCATCTTGCCAAGAGTCGAGTTTCAAACAAAATACGCACCCAGGTTTACGTAGGCGATCTGAGGGGGAGGCTAAACTACATTTTTATGGAATTTTTTTTCCAGGACAACATTGAATCTTTCCAGAATATTTGGTCATTTTAATCAATTCCATGACTGGAACCCTGGTAGAGGACGATATACTGTCCCATATCTTCCATAATATTTTTGTTGGGAGTGAAACCGATTATTCTGCACCTGCTGGATGAGCTGACTGCCAGTCCAGTGAGAGCTTTCCTCACCAGACAGCAGGTTTTTCAGCTCTCAGTACAACACCTTGTACAGACAGAGGCCCCAGAGGCCATGAGGGCACATTTCAGGGCTCCAATGTCAACTTATTACACAGAGGTGATGCTTCAAGCACAACTGCTCTCCAATTAGTGGATAACCCAGGGGTTAGCGATCTCTTTATTTCATCATCAATGCCTCACCTTGTTTCTGTGGATGTAGTACAATCCATTGAGCAGCATCTGCATGACCTTCTTGATCTCTGCCAGGGTGAACTTCACATTGGCGTTGCTCAGCAGCCCGGCCAGGTCGTGCTCACAGAAGTCAAATACCAGGTAGATGCTGCCTTTGTATCTGTTGAACTGAGTGGCTTCAAGAACAGAAAGAGGGGAAAGAGAATGCAAACATCAACATATGCATATATACTTCCTGCTCCTATCATTGACACATTTTGTAAACTAAAAATAAAACCTAAATGAAGACAGACTGACTGTTGGGGCTTGTGAGACCAACCTTTGGTTCTGCAGATCTCAATCAGGTTGACCACATTCTCATGTTTGAGCAGCTGCAGGATCTTGATCTCTCTCAGAGCTGTGATGGGAAACTGAAACAAAGCAGCCAGAGGAAACTGCTATAATGACTGCAGAACCAATATTATGAAGAAAGAAGAAACAATACGACGCAGCAGAGACGAGCAGCACTATGAGCACAGGAAGCATACAGCAGCTTTTACTCCAGTCATTTGTTTAAAGCAGGCTTTTCACCATCAGGTCAGTCAGACTTCTGTTGGTGGAGTTTTGTTTTCAACGGAGTAAAAGCGGCAGCAGCCACACTGAAGAGGTCTGAGGAGGAGTCCCAGCCAATGGGCAGTTATACAGATGTGGATACACCTCATAACACATCATTAAGATAAGCAACACCTTTTAAAAAGGATAGTTCTGCTTTATTACAGCTTGAATCCTATGTTTAAGTCCTGGCCATTACTTTTATACCTGGGCATGTACTGCCAGGTAATAATACAGGTTGTAAACAAAACAACAATGTAAATCTAACCAAATATTTTCTTTTTAATTCAGTGAATATCTCCAGTCTGCAAGCTTTCCGCTTTGTGTGCACACTGAAATAAAATCCGGTAAATGGGAAACAAACATGGATCGGACTGGGTCACAACACTGACTGGTTATTCCAGCCTGGATGTGTGTGTCTAGTAACACATTGAGCAGCACAGTGCTGAGTATCGCTGTCTGGAACAGGTGTGCCAATCTTACAATAAACCAAAATGATCCTGAACGTGCCCCTCCTTTTCTGTCATATGGAAGAACCACTTGTGTCCACAGTGCAGTCTCTCACACCAGTGAACTATTACAGTAAACTCTGAGCGTCCTCTTACCCCTTCTTTCTCATTTTCCATCAGTACTTTCTTCAGTGCGACCTTCTTCCCGGTCTGCCTGTGCTTTGCTTTGAACACCTCCCTGTGAGGAGAAAATCACAGCACAACAGACAGCTTCAGATGAAGCCCTTTCACTGGGCACACTCACAAAGAAGCAAGCCTGCTTGTAAGTAGAAACCATGTTGGTTAATCATTTCTAGCTGCACACATTCTGCTCATTTCCTCCTGGATTTTTCATTTCAACGTGCTTGAGCTCAGAGAGAAGGTGAATTAAACGGAGTGCACCGTACTGCTCTTTACAACACACACTGATAACCGTTCATTCAACTATAAATCAGTGTAAGAGTGTGGTGATAGTGTATATGCTTGCAGCCCCATCCACACTGATCTCACTTGATACAGTTTACCACAGTTTTATTAGTGGAGGTGGTTGTAGAACACACTGTGTGAAGGAACACCAGACTGTGGGTTGACAAATGAGGAATGATACATAAACTCGGCACTTTCCGGGATATGATTAAATAAACATTTTAAACAATCTGACAGACATGTAACAGATATCTGAAGTCAACGTTTGAACGTCCTATTTCATACTCATTAGAACTCAAGTTAGCTATCAGCACAGCTAACGCTAATGTTAGCCACACAAACACACCAAACGTATTCACAGCTACACGAAGAGTTGCTGATGTATTACTCACCCAAAGGTCCCTTGTCCTATTTTGGCCATTTTTTCATATTTGGAGAACTCATCACAGAAAGGAAATTCGACTCCATCGTAGTATTTCGACATTATGGCGGCCTCTCGGTCGGGCCTGGACAGACATTTCATTCGAAATTAGGGCTTTTACGCTAAAACACGGGTTATACACAACATGCCCGACGAAGTGTTAACAGATGAAAATACACATGTATAAAAAAAAAAGTCATTGTAAATATTCTATTCTTACTTTTCAGCCGCACCGGCGTTGCTTGTTTTGTCTCGCTGCATCCTGTCCCGTTCAGAGTCTGCGCAACTGCGACCTCGCCGTCACCGACCGCGACTTTTATACGTCTATGGACCGCGACCCTGCTACGTATGTTGCATTCAAATACAACTCAGGCTCCAGGCTACACACAAAATAAATGAAATATTATTTGCACTCTTGTTATCCGTCGGGTTTTCAGTTTCCGTATTATTAGTTGTCATTTAGTTTCCATAATAATATCTTATCTTATCTTATCTTATCATATATATATATATATGCTTGTATATTATATGTATCTATATTAAATGTATGATTTTAATGTTTCTCTGTTGTATTTACTACTACCTTAGCGCTCACGTACATACCAAGTCTAAAACAAAACAAAACACAAATTTACACGGAAATTTGATTATTAGGGTAGCACCTGAAGGCAGCAATATAAAATAACTTGACTGGAATGAACTGAGAGCGACACCTGGCGACTCGAAGTAGTTATACCACCTGCCAAAATGAGTATATTAAAATGTACTGGCACAACTTATTTTGACGCAATGGTTTTGTTTTTATTTGCTGTTCTGATGTTCTGAATCTGATGTTGTTGTTTTAATGTTAATATGGTATATGGACTGTACTTACATAGTGCCTTTCTTTCGACCACTCAATGCACTGTACACTACATGCCACACTCACCCCATTCACACACATTCATGTCAATGTGGGCAAACGTTTGTTACAAAAATCAAAAAGTGAATAAACTATGATGTATTTTTTTGTGCAGCCTCCATGACTGTGTGAGAACAAAGTTTTGTTTATATTTTGTGGATATTAAGTGGCTGTAAATTGAACATACATGGAAAGCAAACAGGACATCCACAATTATTCAGAGCTAACGTTAGTTAAACCTTTTTTTTTACCTTTTAAGTTTTATTCGCAGCATAATGACCTTTTGCTCAAAGTCACAATCTATACCTCTGCACCATTGACAGTATGTTCTGGACCTTTCTCAAGATGTCTTATTTTCCTTGCTTATAATAAATGTTAGTTATGTAAAATAGCAATATTCAATTTACAAAATGTTTTTTAAATATTCAATATTCAGGCAGTATAGAAGACAATACAATTCGTTTGTTAGTGATAAAGGCCCAGATCTCATAGACTTATAAAACACCAAAATAAAAATTAAGTACACAGTTATATCAAAGGCCTAATCAAATAAAAGATAAGACAAATAAAAATAAATATAATTAAACATAAAAAAATAAATAGGGGGCGTGTCGTAACGTCATTACGTATGTGAGGAGAGTCTGGATCCAGCTCAGCTCGCGCCCCATGATGGTGTGCATGTCGCGCGTGTGGCAGCGGGGCTCCGCGTTTGCCGCGCGGCTCCGAAGGAAGGACTGGGCGTGCAGGTTGGCGGGTCTCTCAGTGAAACACTACAGCACCAAGACGGCGCCGCAGGTACCAGGCATGGAGTACCAGGTAAGCTCCAACACCCGGTCCTCGCAGCGGCTGCTAGTGAGCTAGCTAGCCACCTCTGCTAGTTTGACAAGTTTGTAACTGAACTGTGGGTGACGGCACAGTTTAGAGATGGACGGAAACATGGCTGACAGGACCGCACCAAACTACAGAAAGTTCAGCAGGCGTTGTCAGAGGAGCCCTGTGGCTATAAATCCGCAGCATTGCGCTATGAAAAGTTCGAGTGTAGACAGAGCTGGCAGCACACTGTCCGCTGGACTGTCTGTACCTGCCACAAACACACACACAAACTCTCTGACTCAAAGTCCAACCACTGCGCTAACACGTGCTGTGTCTTCTTTGCTGCCATATTTGAGTTTCTCATTGTGTGTAAACTTAAGCGTTTACCTTTATTTCCTCTGAGGGTTGTCTTGTGTTTTAATAGAGCTGTCATCTTTAAACATGGATCTGTTAGCAAGCACAATAAAGACACTGTCTTATCTTCACTTGTTGCAGTTTAACATTCATGCAAATGAAGGTAATGGCAGAATATGCATCAATATTTGTATATATGTAGCCAGTTTCTCCATTTGACTCAGCCATTATCGATTGCTTTTCTCTCCCAGCTTGTTAGGGCTGAAACTACAGATCATTTTCATTATAGATTGATCAGAGTTTGATCCACTGCTTCATGTCTGTACAGTAATATGAAGCCACCACAAGCAGCTGGTTATCTTAGCTAAGCATAAAGACTGGGAGGGGGGGTTAGCTTGGCTCTGTCTAAAGTAGGGTTGCAAATTGAAAGCAAAGATCCCCATCCACACGCGTTTTTAAAGTGTGTAAAATACACTGATTAAAGCTGCAGTAGGTAATTTTTTATACATTTTTATAAAATGTATTTGCTGAAACTTTCATCATATCCTGACAAGTATACATGAGACAGATCTCTGTGGAAACCAGGTTTCCTCTGGCTCCTCCTAGTGTTCCTTAAATGGTATTGCAAACATCACGGTCTGGAAATGGAAAAACAGTCTTAAATAAATTCTAAACATAAATGTGAACTTATGAATTTCATTTAGTTTTCTCTGCAGAAATGAAATGAAAATCGCTGAGATATGGCCTACTGTGTGTATATATTTTTAGTTTTCACTGTGTAGATTACGGGGGTTTATTTTTGAGCATTCAACTCTTAACTTTTTGCCCCAGGACGCCATTTGCACTCTGAACACACTACAGACCAACGCCAGCGCACTGGAGCAGGTTCGAAGAGAGCGTGGCCACCCGCAGCTGCAGCTCCAGGCCATGAGGAGCTTCCTGGAACGATCAGGCCTCACAGTGAGTCCGTCCTATCAGTAGGATAGTGCATCGGCCACGATTGTTACACAACAGTGACCACTTCAAGCATTACAAAGAATGTTATTGTTGTCTAATGTGATAGAGTAATTGTTTCCTCTAATCTTAGTGTGTGTCTCTGTGTGTGTCTGTGTGTCTGTCTGTGTGTCTGTCTGTGTGTGTGTGTGTGTGTGTGTGTGTCTCAAAGGTG